CTTTTCCGGGTATTTTATTCGATCTTTTCTATGTGTGACAGACTTCTTAATAGAAGTTTCCGATTTTCTGTTAAACAAGTGGAGGCATATTGGATTAAGCCGTCATATAAATAAATTAGGAAATGATCGCAGTTTTTACTTTTCAACCGTCCCGTACAGTAATTATAATGTAGTGTTTCAGGGCTACTCGTTCGTGTCGCCATCGGTAATGTTCGCTAATAATAACATAATTGGTGAGGAATGTTTGGCGGATGATTTTAGAGCGCTGGTTTCGGTTTCACCTTTTTTTTCCAAGTATAAGTTGGATCGTTCAGAAAGTGGTCTTCTTGGAAAGGGATCTTTTTCGATTTGCAGGTAAAAACTGGAATTGTTTTGGGATGAAGCGTGCTAGAACTCACACTCATCCACTAGCAGTAAGATTCAAAAATTTTTCACTATTGTGGGCATCTGCAAGCGTTTCTTCTTATTTCAGTTTACTTTTCATGACAAATATTTTTTTGAAAAAAGCTGGCAAAAATCATCCAATTTTTATTCCAGAAAATGCGAAAGGTTATCGGATGGAGTTTCATTTGCTGTGAAAATAGTTTCTCAACGTTTCCAAGCTCAGACAAGTCGCGAGGCGAGCATATTGAACTTAGTTAGTGGACATCCGAACATTGTTCGCCTCATTGATGTTCAGTCAGACAGTTTACACATCTATTTGATTATGGAACTACTTGAAGGTGTGGTTGGAAATATTTACGAAATTATTTTACAGACTTTATATTTTTCAAGACATGCTTAATATCTGAAACAAGATGATACATTTGTTTGTTTTGAAACGTCATATCTGTTAGTTGGCTGTAACGCACAAGATATCTTATTGAAAAGATGAAAGATTGAAAGTTCTGATAAGTGGTGACTCTATTGAATGATTTCGAATCAGATCACTTCTAGAAGAAAGCTAACGTTTTGAATAGCAACTATATAACTCTTATTTCTCGTGAAATAACATTTCTTTTTTATATGTTCGTTTTATAGGCGGGGAATTGCTCACAAGAATAAAGAAGATGGAGACATTTACAGAAGCACAAGCTGGTAAGATAATGAAGCAGCTCGTATCGGCAGTCTCATATCTTCATTTCAAAAACATTGTGCATCGTGATTTGAAGCCAGAGGTATCATCTCTTTAACAACAAAAAGTGTAGCGTATCTTTATTACAAAACACATTGAGAAAATGTTCAAAGTTTTTTCTATCAAAATCGCTTTCCCTTGCAATTTCAATTTGTAAAAGATCCAAGACATTTTATAACTGTATTGATCTATTCAAATTTGAATGTATTCTCTGATTTTTTGTTGAGATAAAGTAAAATATTGTAGAGTAAAAAACATTTTTTAGCATTTTTTGCCCATTTTTTGTTGTTTTTTTGCATGATTATTCATTAGAATGTCTGGAACTTTTCGGTTTTATATAACTTTATAAAAGTTCTACGATTTTATGGCTGTAGACACTTCTTTTCAGAATATTCTTTTTGAGAGCAATGAACCACAAGCAAAACTGCGTTTGGTCGATTTTGGGTTTGCCCGTCTTCTGCCATCAGCAACGGAAAATTTGATGACTCCTTGTTTTACTTTGCATTACGCAGCACCAGAAGTCCTGGAGAGTGATGACCAGTTGCCACAGTATAACGAACAATGTGATCTTTGGAGTCTAGGAGTTATTCTAGTAAGAATACGGATTTTTAATCTATTATTCATTAAGTGTTACACATTTTTAGCTTCTCAGTGTCAGTATTAGCTAGTTCATAATGGAGAATAGTCTTATTTCAAATGCCAACTATCACTTTATATTTCTGTATGTTTTAATTTACTGGTTCACAAATGCGAAATATTTCAGCTTTTTGTCAGATGAGATAATAAATGGATTTTTTTCTTTACCTAGGCGATCACTAGAGTGAAAAAATCATTGAGGAAATTGATATTCGGCATAAGTCAAGATTTTTGCAATACTTTTATGGGTTTGTAATTTAAAATTTTGCTGAAAGAGATTTAGAAATACCACTCTATTTTATTTGACAACATACTTTAAATATTTAAAGTAATAAGTTTAGTTCACGATGTTAAGTGGCAACGTACCTTTCCATGCACGTAGCAAGTACGAATCAGCGACAAATATTATGAGGCGAATTCGGAATGCAGAATTCTCGTTTGATGCATCGCAGTGGCGAGATGTTAGTATAGAAGCGAAGACTTTAATTACTTGTTAGTTTTGCCATTTTCCTAGCAGCAAAAATAAGGCTTATATGCATAATATTCTTTGATAAAATTGCTACAGGATCTACTCACAAATTTGGGTAGAAATATATTAAAAGTCAGTTTTTGCTTCTGGTAAATTACTGCTAAATTTTCTGAACTTCGGAAAATTTTTTTAAGTGTTGTTGACTGTTGATCCAACGAAGCGTTTGTCTTTGGAGGAGCTGCAGTGTCATCCATGGTTACTAAGTGCTGCTGCGCAAAATGAAACACCACTTCAGACACCAACAACATTGTTAAAGTCTCAGTCACATACTGGTTAGTCCATGTTTTTTGTTTCTTTACGAAAGAACGTAGAGTAATGAGCGTACGAAAGTTCCTTCTATCTAAATATTGATCACATCGAAATGAATTGTATAAAATATGCATCGGTTTTTTCAGAGGAAACATTTAATGAAACTATGAATGCCTTTCTGAATGCTAACCGTGAGGGATTCCAATTAATGGAAGTTGCTACGGCTCCGCTGCTTATGAAAAGACGTGGTATGAAACGAAAGAGTTTTGGTTCACGTGAATCATCTCCCAGATTTGAATCGACGACAAACAAGAAGGCTACAGTGATTGGTCCGCTTGAAACAGTACCGGAAGTTGCATCACCCCAACTTCCACGTCCAACATTATTGTTTTTGCAAACATCACCTGTGAATTATAAGAACTCTAAGTCCCCCACACCTCGAGATACTGAAGACTCGACATAACTTCTTGGTTTAAAATTTAAACCAATTGGAAATATTCAAATATAGCTGCAGGTGGTGCGCTGCTTATTAAAATGATACGGTCAGCACTTTTTCTTAGGAAAATGATATGAAATCATTATTTGCGTTATTTTACATTGGAGAATACTTGAACAATTTGCAACTTGGATCTCAAAATTTGGAATTCAAAGAGTGGATTTGATTTAGAACTGTATTTATTTCTTAATATTGCATTTGGATTTTGTAGTTTTGTTCTATTGTTTTCCCAATATCTATCTATGAATACTTTTGATTATGCACACTTTGCCGTCCGTGTTTCACTTTTTTCAAATATTTGTTGACATGTTATGTTATCCGTTCAATTTTTTTTTTTGAAATATCTTATTGATATCACATTTATAATTCTAGGAGAAAATCTTATCCATTTGTTTTTTAAAACAGATTTAAATCTTTAAAAGTGTAAAATCAATCAGGTATTTCAAGAAATATACTTTATGGTCATTTCATTGCTTTTCCGGATAGAACCTAATTCTTTTAATGTTTTTATATAATTCAGTTGTGGTTAGTGTGACAGTTACGGCTCTAAATTTCTGTGATCACTTGGTTGTATGCTTTTATGTTCCTTCTCAGTTCTTTCTTCACTATTAGTCCATTTGTTTTATGTACATAGCCCATCTGTTTTTGTTTCATCCTCTGCCATCAGTTTCAAAATTCACAGAAACAAGATGGTAAGGTAAAGAGCTTTCGATTAAACTAATTTGATTCATTTGGTCTCTCCTTCTTTACAGATCATGTAATTGTAAAAGCTCATTTTCAATATTTTGCTTGAAATATACTTTTCATATGAGTTTCTAAGCTCTAAAAATTATTATTATTATTCTTTAAATTAAGAGTATGGAGGAGGCAAGCGGGAGGAAATTATCCGTGTTTTGACTTTTTAGACTATCTAATTATTTCCCATCTTGATCTTGTCTTTTTTGGATACATACATCTCTTAAATGTTGAGTAATCCTAGTAAATAGTTGATAAATACATTTTTTTTTGTTCCAGTAATTTAATTCATAGACGTATTTAAAAAAACATCAAAATATTTAAAGAATTTCATTTTTTTTTTCATTGTAATCATAATTATGATTTCTTGTTACATAGATTGTGTTGATAAGGAATGGATTAGTGCAGCATTGAAGGAAATTGTGCTTTGATTAACACTCTTGCTTAATGAGCTTTTTGTGAAAAGTAAGTTTGTGAAGAACTTTATAGAAATTGTGGAAATCGATCGAAATTTCAGTTTTTCGAAACTTGTTAATTTGGATAAGCACTTTCCTTATAAATTTCTATTGAGAGTGTTGTACATTGTTGATATCACTAAAACGAATTCAGTAAAATATAGTTTAAGGATGAAATCTTTGAAAATTTCACTTATTTATGTATTTAAAAAAATTAGATAGGTATACATTGCTAAGTGATTGAGACGTGGCTAATAGATTGAAAGTATAGCGACAGGAAAAGAAAGACTTGCAATGAATGCTATGATTGTAGGAAAGAATAAAAATAAAGCAAAAAAACACTTTTACATTTTGGCTATTTTAAAGCACTTGAAAATGGTGGCATTTAGTTCAAAACAAAAGAAAAATTGGGCTACAAATGAAAATACAGTAATTACTTGGCATTGAAACACTTTAAAATAAAAGAAAGAAGACCTTGTCTTTTATATTAGACCGGTACTCTTTTGTCTCCGGCTTGAGCAGAAACATCACATTCTTTTTTTACAAAAGATTTAAATAAGAACTAAGATCATTACTTGGTACAAGTAAATGATTCTCTCATGTTTTTTAATAAAAAAGGTCCATAACATGTGTTTCTGAAATTTTTAAAGGAGCTGAGAAAGTCGTTTGTTCGTTTTTCCATATGCTCTTTCAAACAAAAACTGGGCCATGATACACGAAATATTTTTACAACAGTTTACAACTTAACACTTCGAGTTCGTTTGTAATTTAACAATTGCGTTTTGATCATTTTAAACCAACCCTTTTCCAGAGAACTTTCATCAATCGGTTTATTGGTAATCCAACAACATTATAATAACAACCATCAATCTTTTCGACAAACATTCCTCCACAGGCTTGAATACCATAGGAACCAGCTCGACCACTGGAAAACATCACGATTTAAAGGTTTTTCCAGTGACGATCTTTATTGGGGTTAAATTTTTTTAGGTTAGATTTTCCTCTAAAATTTCTTTTACTGTCGCATATATAGGACAGATTTGTATAAGTAGAAGTAAAGTAAAAAGAATTAATCTGAAAGAAGATAACAAAATCTTGTTTACATAAGTACCTACAATGGCTCGCCAGAAGCAACATATTCTTTGATAACAGTTTCCGGAATCAGGCAGAATTTGACAGCTGTTCGTTCCACGAATTGTTCACACTGCTGACTGCTGTCGATGATTGCTGCGCCAGTGTAAACTTCATGCAAATTTCCATTTAGTCTGGAGAAGATAACAATTGGATTTATCATGCCAGTGAAAAACTTCTGGTGTTCATATAGCAGCGGGAGTACCACTTAGTTTTGACAGTTAACGTAACCAAACGCCTTCTTGTGAAATCAAAAATTATTCGTTCACTGCGCAAAATATGTAGATGACAGAGAGCTAGGTAAATGTATGAATAAAAATAATACCAAATTATTTAACAGTATGGTCAGAAATGAACGAATAAAAAATGACATTTGACATTACATTAACAGAACATTTGTATTCTAATCTTTGTTGGGAAAATTAAAAATAATTACATTTCAGGGATACCTCTGAAGAGTAACTCGAGCATCTCTTTCATCAACTGGCTTACCGATAATATCGTTTTCAAATACGATTACCGTGTCACAACCAATAATAACATCGTAATCTTTGATATCCTAAAAATTAGTATAAGGAACTCAAACGGAAAAGTGGCCTGAAGTTAGGCCATGTTAATCCGAATTTACAAAAGTTCTTAATTTTTATTTTTTTAAAGTTCTTAATTTTTATTGCAATTTTTAATGCACCCTTACATGCATTCTTTAATTCTACCAAATTCATGGTAATATTTTTCGTACCACTAATGAAAATGAACTAATTAATAACTGAACAACATTTTTATCATAGCTTCTAAACGTGTAATTTCAGAAAAATAATAGAAAGTCTGGTCGAAATTTTAAATGTATAAATGGAGATAGCTGATAAAAGATAACCATAAGTTTCGCAATTGTCTCTGCCTTGATACGTGCTGTCTCACATACATATTCATTGACAGGTAGGTCTTTACTTAGGTTTTCATCGTAATTTGATACTCGTACAATAGGTTCTATCCCCTGAAGCAGATTAGTTTCCAAACGTCTCAAAAATTGAACCCATCTCTCAAATAATTTTAAAATATTGCCTTAAAAGTCAGTTAAATTAATTTCTTAAAATTTCTTTCTTTTAATTTCTGACAGCTCAAAATCATACGATTTGTTTAAGGAGTGTCAAACGTTGTTTGGAATCGCTGGCAAGAACAATTCGGAGTGAAGCAATGGACGGTGGCACCAGTGCCATTGATTTGGCTTTACGTCGGATCCTTCTGCTGTCCAAAATGTTTACCAACTCGTGGGGCAAGCCTGAAATATTAGGGCGGTTTGTCTATGGAACAAATTATAGCGAAATAGGTCGTGCGAACGAACAAGGCGGAATTTGAAACTTTCTTACCAAATGAATTTATTTATTTTGGAGCCCTACGAATCTCCACTGCCTTCATCCTCATATTTGATACTTTTAATTGCTATATGAGGAGTTTAAATTGAGACTTTCACGGGCGCGTAATCACATTCTCACCAATTAATTTCCTATACTGAATTGTCGTTGCATGCAAATTTCAGTGGATGATGACTACTGAAGGATGCTTCACTCTGGAAGTTGAAGACCCAACTTTAATCGAAGTTCTTTCCTTTATCGATTGCATTATGCTCAAATTTCAGATCTTTCAAATTTCGCAGAGATGTGATATCGAAAGCATATATTATGGAAATTGTGGAGCGTTCAAATCCTGCAATGGTTATTACCAAAGAAGTACGTTTTTAATTTTTGAATCCTAGTTTCAAAATCAAATCTCATTCAACTCCTTGATTTTCCATACTATGGGCAAATTTGAAGCATAGAAATTTACAGCGCTAAGTATGACTTTCAATTTCGATACAATATTGGTATATCATTTCGCAATGTAAAGTGAAGCTTAGCGTGTTCTATGAAGGCTCTTTTAAATTTAGACTGGGAGTCACGATAGCACTGAATATCGTGTAGAATGGAGCGCGAAAAACTATTTAAAAATTTAATTTCAATAGGAAACTGCAAGTAATGGTAACCGCTATATGGAAGGTTATTTCTTAAGTCCGTTAGCATTTATGTTTCCTGATTTGCTACCTGGCAATATTGGGCAAGCTACATGGCGCGGAAAATTCTCGAAAGTAAAGCATGCTTTAGTAGTTCATCTTGCTAGTACTGGAGACCACACCTACTTCAGGTTTGATTTAATTTGGATTTCCTCTTCACAAAATTATATCAGATGATTTAAAGACTCATTGTAACAAACACGAAATCGTATGCATGCGTGAAATGACGGGACAATGTTTGCAATCCTAACGGGAAACTGGATAAATCTTTTAGAAATTTATGAATTTGCATTTAATGAAAATTTCAATTACTTCACGCCCTATTTTCATTAGACGTGAATTCGGCTTCGCAAATGACTTGATGAAAAGTAACATAAGCTCAATTTTGCTGCAGAACCCATTCTACGGGTCCAGAAAACCACGGGATCAATTCAGGTACGGTATTCATCAAAGGGATTCAGGTATGGTATTTCATAAATACTGTAAGGGTTAAAATATATATACGACGATACAAATTTCACTTATGGTATTATAGGTCAAGCCTTATTAACGTTTCTGATCTATTTATTATGGGTGGTGCGTTGATCGCGGAGTGCAATTTTTTATTGAAGTGGGCAAGGGAGCAAGGTTACTGGCCTGTAGGTTTAGCTGGTGTATCAATGGGTGGCCATATGGCTTGTTTGGCTTGTACAAACTCCCCAGAACCTATTGCACTGGTACCTTGTCTCTCATGGACTACAGCTTCAACCGTTTTCGTTCAGGTAATATTATCTTCTACGTTTTATGAGTGATTCTTGATTTGGATTTAAAAATTTGCATTTTCGAAAAGACTACATTCTGACTGGATGTCTTAGGGCACATTATCGAAATCAGTCTCGTGGGATGTGCTAACAATGGAACTGCTATCCAAACAATTTCAAGAGGGAATTGGACAAATACCAGAATGCGACTGGCTTGACAAATCTTATGAAATATGCAGGAAATTAGATGATGACTCACCTTTTAAAGCTGCGAAATGTGTAGGTTTCTTGTTTCTTCCTTCTATGTTAAATTTATTTCGGTGCACAATCTTTTTCACTTCCTGGACGTTAACCTACCGGTATCGTATTTTCTTCTCCACTATTAGTATAAACCCCAAGATTCTTTCCAATTACAGTTTATGTACGTGTTGATGGAAGAATTTACCAATCTCTGCAACTACCCCATTCCAAAGGACACCAGACTTGTAAAGAACATTATCGCTGAAAATGATGGCTACGTTATTCGATCTGGAGTACCCACAATGCAACAAGTTTGGCCTGGGACAACTGTAGAGGTAAGTGGGGAACACAACCCACTTCCGTCTTCTCTTTTACTTCAATCGTTCAAATTTTCGAAGAAAAATTAAAGCCAATATAGCAGTACTTCCGTTTAATAATCATTCTAATCTAGTTGGCTTTTTCAAAAAATTTGTTCTAGAATTGGAACTAATTTAATAGTGACAAAAACCACTTTCTTCTAAAATAACATTTTTAACTCATAAAATAAAAATATAAAAAATATATAAAATACAAACAAAAAAAGAATAAAATAAAACTATATTCATAAACAACGCTAACCTAATAACAGTACAAAAAATACCTCTGCTTAACGTAAAAGGGTCTCTCAGAAATTATTTAATTTTGCAGGTAATCAAAGGAATGGGCCACGTGGAAGCGTATCTGGCTAGCCATACACTGTTCCGAAGTTGTATCAGAGAAATGCTACGAAAAAACCAGGAACTTTATAATTAAATTATGAAGGATCCTAAAAATGTTCTTGGGATTCTTATTAATAGTATACTGCTAGGATTACAATTACAATTTGTTTAGGTAGTGAAGTATGTAAGGCATTTAGATAATGCCATCGAAAACCTCTTATCTTCTCTGAAATTAACTTTTTGTATCTAAATATTTTGTACACCTCTTTATTGTTGTAATATTCATTACGAAAACTATAATATAATGTCACAATATATTTAAATTTTGTGGAATAGAACGCTCTCTGACATGCCAATACCTAGTTCTCTTCCAAATCGATTCACAGTCAAACGTTCAATTATTACTTTCGGAAACTATTACTAACATTAATAATGGTTAAGTATTCGAACAAGCACAGAATTACGAAGACTCACACTCTATTATGTTTAAACGCGTATTTATTTTGTTTCCTTCGCTGTTATCTATTTAAGGTTAAATATATGATACAAATAGCTAAACAACTAAATCAATTGATATATGAGTGCGACTAACATACAGTGCTCAATGTGAAATGCATCGTGCATTTCTCGCCTTTCAATGTTTTCTTCCTCTAATTCTATTTCTTGAAAATCCTAGGATTACTATAACCGTTTCACCGAATGTGTAAATGTGTAAATCGCATAAAAGTAGATCAAATTAATGTCTGTTCTGAATATACAACAAAGTTTAGCATTAAACTTGGCAATAACTATATATTTTAGGCAACACCTGAAATACTAACGCACTACACTCATCATGAATAATAAAAAAACAAAATTTTTAGAAGGTAAACGTAGCAACAAGAAATGTAAGGAAAGATTCATGCATTCGGACTGCGTATTAGGTGTGAGCAGAAACATCAACGGATCCAAAAGACTTGGCATGAAAATAGGACTATATATCTATATATAAGATGATTTAAAAAGAGAAATAATTCTAGAAACTTTTGTCTTGTTTGATGTTATCCTACGCCTTAGATTCGTATAAACATTGTCTACTAGTCAAACTTTGACCAAAGACTGTAATATAAAAAATTTCAATCGGAGTACGTGTGGGTAGGAAACATCAATCTAAAAAGAATTATGGGTGTAGAAATGAATACATGTGGAAATATGTATTGACATATAGAAATCTGCTATATTGAATCACTAAAATTAACAATCTAACATAGAATATATCTTGTCTAGCGAAGCAGAAGCAATAAGTTGTAAAAAAAATCCTAATTTTCCTGTTAAGGAAAAAATCGAAGAATGAGCTACCAGTTTCAAAAACCATTAGTAGAACGTTACATGTTAAAATGGGAAGATTGCCTATTGCAGGAAATAATTGACACAAGGAACAGTTTAGCACGCATCACTTTATCTGAAATCGCAGAAAGCCGTGATATCGTTTCTAGCTTATATACCAATTCGAAATGCAGACCTTACTCCTTCTATATATGATGCCGAGTTTTAGGCATTGGTCAGTTGTTCTTGTTTGTCGGTCTTTCGCGTCCTTTCACTGTCTTCCACATACTCTTTCGTCCTTTTATGTATGTCCAAGCGTGTCGTTTGCCGTATAGCAACACGAATGTTAGCAATGGCAGGAACAGTAACGACTGAAATTATTTTAACTGTTTAATGCTGGCATCCATTCAGCACGACCTTCATTCGACAGAGTTCCGAAGATAGTACTAATTACTAATGTAACAAGCAGAGAGATGTATAAGTTTGAAGCAGCTTATACAGCTTAGAAATTTGAAAGCCATACTATCTAATGCGTCAATATGGCAATGCCTAATTTAATTTTCATGCTAATTTGGGTTCGCGATTGAAGTTGTCATCTATGGACCTCGAATTGAATCTCACCCTTTCTTATTTTACTACATAGAAACGGATGACAGGAAAAGTCAAATAAGCTTGACACAATTAGTTAAAAAATCGCTAAGAACCTTCCGAAGAAAAGTTCAAAGAACGCTAACGAGAACAATTCACTTGCCTTTTGACACCAATGACAAGAGAATGAGTATTTCCTACTATGTTTATTTGAACTCTACCTTGTTATAATGTCAATGTTGTTTGGATTTTGATTTCGAAAAGGCTTTATCATTTTATTCTTAAAACCTCTAGCTTCCTCGCACTGATAAGCGCTACCGAAGTCATGTTACCTTTACTAATAGTCTCTTCTTTTTCTCATAGAAAGGTTCCGCTGTCCAGCGCATAAATGTGCACACATCTTTTGCTTGCTGACTAGCAGTTGCTGGTGTCCCATCTTTATATTCAATACCACCATCGAACAGCTGCTGTGGCATACTAATGACACCATCAGGAAAATAGGGATTATAATGCTTTCCTTCATCCAGCTAAAAATGAATTGTGAAAATCCAGAACTTACATGTTTCGACATTTTTAATTGGGAAAGCTACTATAAATTCAATAAACACGAAATGATTTCTGGTAAACAGTTTGCATAACTTTCAAATTGAAATTTGAATGATTTCTGAAAAATCTTTGAAAACAAACCTTCACCCCAGCTGGTACATCGACATATGAGGTTAATAATGAAAAAACATAATCTTCAGCACCTTCTCGTGTGAGCAATAACATCGAAAGATCAGGTGGGAAAGCACCGCCATTTGCCGCTTTTGCTGCAGCAATATTCGGATAGGGTGATAGCAAATGATCATTTAGTTCGCCCTGCCGTTCACTTGCGTTTCCTGAAATATGTCGTTTCCTGAAATGGGCCTGTAATCCGGAATTCTCTGGACACAGAGAAGCAATTATAAAATATTTTTTTAATAAAAATAACTGTTCATTAAAAAGTCTGAAAAGTTTGAATAAAAAATCTATAACGCTTAATATACAGCCACACCAGATGAGTAAAACATAAAAATTATCACATACCAGCTTCGTCGATGTAAGGCACAGTAACAGCAGCAGCTTCAGCTTTTGCTTCCTCTTCGGTCATAATATTTCCAACTAAATGACGGTAAGCTATCCATTTCATAGAGTGGCAAGCCTTACATACCTGCTTGTATACTTCATAACCACGACGTGCACTATAAATGAAGTGTTTAAGCAAGTTACGTCAGTTCAAAAATCTCACGAATCTCAAACAATTAGTAACCATTGTTTTTTGAAAGTACTTTTCGCTTTCAAATTCTTATATATAGAAAATTCAGGAATTTTTAAATGCTTCTCTGGAAAATTTTTCTTACTTGAAAACTGGTTCACTGCTTTTAATTTCATGAGACTAATCTAGTCTTTAGAACAGTGTTTCACTGGATGCTGAGGCAGGTACAAATACTGCAAACTCAAAATTTGGTTGATCTTTTCCGCTTAATACTTATAGCATTCATCAAGTTAAATTAAAAAGAAAAAATGCGATGATAAACATACGAAGCCATATCAATAGTACCAAATACTCGTTTGTGATCCCATGGCAGAGATGCAGGATGTGGGAAATGTTCAAAAGCTTCCACCTTCACCGCATTTTCCAATGCATACAGTAAACCAGCACCAGCAACCGACACAGTACCAGCTCCAACAGCTAAGGTACGCTAAAAACGACAATTTTACTGAATTGATATATCATTATCTTTTCAATAAGATTCAAGATTTACTAAATAATACTGGAAATTTGTTCAACGCATAACCAGGAATATCACAATTGTGATAATGATAATGTACTTAAGTTATGACAATATACTCAAGTTTCATACATCAAAGAATATTGAGGTAATTTTTATTCCCCTAAACTTCAGAAAAAGCGTCAACACGGAATTTTTCATTGTTATGAATTCCTTCTCCAAAGACCTACTTAATCCTTTATTCAGAAGAACTACTAACATACCACCAAAAGTACCACTCCCTATCTGGAGCAGTACATCTGCCGAAAGCAATATAACTAAATGTCTGCAATGTGGTTACAACAATAAACATAAAATATATGCTACGTTTATGATGCTCTTCATGAAAACTTTCTAGATTCATATAAACTTACCCGAAAACAATGGCCAAAAGTGGTCCTATGCATCGGCGAACTATTCCTAAAAATAGCAAACTTCAAAAATAATATAGGCAAGAGATATTTAACGAATCGACATACCTTTACGTCTGATCTTGTTGAAAAGCTAATAGTGAAATGAGACTACCTCCTCTTTTTTTATTCTCAATAAAACTCAGTTTATGATAAGTATTTCCTTAACTGAATTACTGCTCTCGTTCTTCCTAGTTGCATTTAATTTTCGGAAGCCAGTTAGCAATTAAGACAAAAGAACGCTCTTAAAATATTAGTGACTATTTTATACTTCCATCAGTATTTACACATATTTTTTTCTCATCATTTATTAATATTAATACCCGTAATTTCCTTCTTATCCTTAACATTCTCATTATTTTAGAACGATTAATATTTAAACCTTGTTAGTCATTGCCATCTCTTCGCAGCATTTTACAAAGCATAATTTATTGGTAGTCTATAATTCGCACTTTGCTACTAACTTCATCCTAATAATTGACTGTTTTGCTTAGTTGTTGCCACTAGCTCTCAAAATCATATCCTAAAGCTAACAGTGTACAAGCTATACAAATTTCAAACCTTACAATTTTTGATACTTCTCAAATAACTCCACATTTTCCAGATACTGAAAAAGAAATAATGTGATGGTAGATTTCTGATTATTCAATGACTTTGATCAGATCTCAATAGATAAGAATGAAAATGACCGATAAGCATATTTTCAAACAAGACAACATATACACAAGAACAGATATTTCATTCACAACTCACCTAATCTTTCGTGCGATATCATTTATTTAAGTAAACAAACAGTTATAATTTCACTCCCAGAACTAACTATTAAATTACTTTAACTGTTTTCTTGTAGTATTATAAGCGTAAGAATTCACTATAATGAGTAGAAAAACCTTAAACATTAACATGAAAGGGCACGGGAATACGAAAAAACCTCCCATTATATCCTTTTTCGTCACAAAATTAGATTGATACTGGTGATTTGAAGTTAATATCCCTCT